TTCTTTTTCGCGGTTAAATTGAATGTAGTTTCCTAAAGGAAACGGCGTTATGTAATAAAGACTAGATTATTTTGAGGCTGATGAAGTGATAATTCTTAAAGTAATGTTTTGCATGTAATATTTCACACTTGTTGAGCTTTGTGTCTTCATTGTGCCCGCGCCGGGAGTTAACAACACAGAACCCTGCTTGTGTGAGGAGGCGATTTTCTCAGCTTCTTCAGAAGAGAGGGAAAGACCCTGAATGATGTAAAAGATGTCACATGCTGTGCTGATGGGGCTTCTTCATGACTACATCAATTATGCTAAAGAGATCATGAAAATTGACAGAGATGCATGATCTGTATTCATGGACTATGAAACAAACTGTAAGTGTATAATTTGTAAAAACAAAATGTTAAATGCTTGTTCTGTGTTGTTTAGTAGAAATGGAGTTTACACTCTGTCATTCATACACATGCTCACATTCTTTCACACATATGCTTCTGTTAAATGTTATAATATCAGTGTTAATGTTGTGGTTTATTTGTGTACTGTCATGCCAGAATAGTTTGTAAAGAACTTAACTATTACCTAATTGTACAATTATTGTATAATAGTGTTTTGGTATAATATTTTTATACAATATATTAAATTGACCAAAAAAGTCAAATTTGATATTAAAAGTTATATTCAACAAATGTTCAATGCTTCAATATAACCCAATTTGTTGGGTCAAAACAACCCAGCGCTGGGTTCGTCCCTTTTTGACCCAGCGCTGGGTTGCCAAAATAACCCAAATTGGGTTGTTTTTAACCCAGCCGTTTTTAGAGTGTATATAGAGTACAGTTGCCACACTGCAATACCAAAAACATTGCCATCATATATTATTATTATTATTATAACTTTATGGCAAATGTATTTAAAAAGAGCCACCACCCCCCCCCCCCCCACAAATTAATTTCATGATAAGCTGATCAATTAATGACGGCTTATATCAATATGTTTACTGTATATTTAAAGTGAAAAATAAATGATCACTTAAAACCAATACAAAAGTATAAAAAAAATACTAATAATGTTTATGAAATCAGTAAAGATACTTACTTAGCAATTTATTCTTTGAACATGCAAGAGTGAAAAGTGAAAATAGCAGCAACATGTTATTGCTTTAAAAAAATAAGGTGAGGAAAAAGCAGAAATGGAAATTCTTCCAGTATATCAAGCCTGTAGCTTCAGGTGATTTTATCCATATAGGTAGTTCACACTCATAACAAGACTGGAAATCTTGTTATTAAGGGCCTGAAGCTGAGCTTCCCTACAATGCTTTTGTTCACTTTTGATGTGTCCTTGAATGTATCTTCAATATCACTAGTACCTTCATGTAAAGGCTTAAAGCCCTTATAAGGACCAGGCATAAGGAAACTCTTGAGACCATTTCATAACCATTAATGTCAAACCCAGTTCCATACAGTATAATAAAGTCAGCTGACAGTTTCAAGGGTATGAAAACAAATGATACAGTGCCTTTAAAATACTTCACAGAAGCAGGGAGTAATGCCACGTAAATGACTGTGAATTAAATGTGCTTACGGGTTTTCCTGTAGATAACCTCTGTCTGTCTAAAAGAAACCTGCTGCCTCTCATCTACACACTCGCCATCACCCTATATGGTGCTGATAAGACTGGATGAGGAAAAAATTCACAAGACTCACAAAATAGGTACAGACAGACATAGATTAAGACTGACAAAATAGGTGCAGGCAGACATATACATATACACACACAAACAAACACACACTATATATACATGCATACATGCATAAATACATACAGTGACTTTGCACTTGTTATTTTCAGGACAGGTTGCTTGGTTCTCTTGCAGGATCTGGCAGAAGACTGATATAAAATACAATCTAGTGTCACAGTAATCTGGCAAGTTATTATTATTGCATTCTGTTCAATGGAAACTGCAGTTTGGGCACTCAAGTGGTATACAACAATCCTTCATTCAAATGCCAGCAATGGCAGTGTTTCAGGAAGGTAGGCCAAAGGTGATAAATAATGAAGTTCATTCATAATTGTTGATTTGTTATGGAACATTAGCTTTTTGGGAATTATAATACAGAAAAAAAACTAAAGCCAATTTATTATTTTCTTACTCTAAAAACACCACTATCTTCCCACCTGCAACTGTCCGACTCATTGGTATTAAAAAAACAACTTCTCTCCTCTAGGACATTTCCACATGCTCCTCCTCTCCTTGAGGAATTCAGCTCTCATACTCTGAGAGTATCAACGCCTACAGCGAGACACAACCCTTATGATGTTAAGCCAATACATACCAAGCCAATTAAAACCAACATGAAAACACAGCTCCCTCTTCAGAATTGTGTCTCCATAGAGCACATTCTGGAAGACCTCTCTATCCATTTTTTTTTTTACCAGTGCCCTTTATAACTTTGCCAGCCAGCATCTGGATTTCCTGATGACGGGGGTGTTGGAATTTATTTATATCCGGAAGGTTACAGAGATATAAGGAAAATAAACAGTTGATTCCAAAGAATCTGTCCACATGCACATCAGTATTCAGCATTGCGATTGGTTAAGATTACTCATACAACATATAAGGCCTGTCTAGTCGCACTCGATAGGGAGTGAAGCCAACTGTAAAAATGTCACTGATTCCCAAAAACCACAATATACAGACTTCAACAGAATTCAATCTTGTATTATAAATCATGGATTCACAGAATACTCCATATGCAAATTTAGCCTTTGTACAGGTTAGTAAGGATAAAACTCCAGATGGAATATGAACATTTGAACAGCTCTATTTTTCAGAGAGATATTAACAACTTTGCTTTTTGCTTTTATTAGAAAGAATAGATAGCTACATCAGATTCAAAGGTGAAACAGCTCCTTATGTCACATCTATTTATGTGTGTGTGTGTCTGTGTGTGTGTCAACAGTATATGTGTACACACACACACACACACACACACACATATATATATATATATATATAAATTGCCTGAATTTGTATGTTTGTGCTTAAAATTATAAATAAATGAATACTTTTATTCAGAAAGGATGCATTAAATTGACCAGAAGTGACAGTAAAGACATTTATAATGTTACAAATTGTTTCTATGTTAGATAAATGCTGTTCTTGTAAACATTCATCAAAGACATCCCTGTTTGCATAAAATTTGATATGTAAAGTTTGGTTGACGTGAAGTGACCCATACTCAGAATTTGTGCTCTGCATTTAATCCATCCAAGTGCACATACAAAGTTGTGAACACACACACACACTGTGAACACACACCCTGAACAGTGGGCAGCCATATTGCTGTGGCGCCCGGGGAGCAGTTGGGGGTTCAGTGCCTTGCTCAAGGGTCTCACCTCAGCTGTGGTATTCAGGGTGGGAGAGAGCACTGGTTATTTACTCCCCCCACCGACAATTCCTGCCGAACCTGAGACTCGAACCTGCAACGTTCGGATTACAAGTCCGACACTCTAATCTTTAGGCTACGACTGCCCTATTCACATGGTCATGTTTAACATTCTCGGTCTGTCCTTGAAGGGAAAGGAATTTAATTCCTGGTTGTTCCTGTTTAATCTCAGGGTGACCAGTTTCTCCAAAGGGAATAAAAATTAAGGTATTTAACTTTATATACTGTAACTTATCTAGCAGACATGTTTTGTTACCCAGAGCACTTATCAGTACATTTACTACTTGGACCTGGAGCAATTTGTACTTAAGAGCTCTGCTGTGCAATGCATTCTCAGTTATTTTTCAGTTCATAGATCACTCTTACCACAGTTTTTGGATCATCAGTCCAGACTTAACCCTCAACGATTATTATTATGTAACGATTATGCGATTATGCTGGTCAAGCAATTGGTCATGGCATTAGATTGCTTTTTTCATTGAAAAAGATGGACCATTGTGAGCTGGTGGCAAACAAGTTACTTTTAAACTGTCTTTTTCAGGAACTACCAGTACCAAGCATTCCATAAACAGAAGTCTCAAATAACGCAGAGACAGAGACAATGCCTCATTGTGCTCAACAGTGTTACTGTAAACTAAAATTAAAACAGTTTTGTTCATTAAAATAATAATTAGTACAATAGTAAAATATTAATATTAGATGAATAACTTAAATGAAAGAAATGTTATAAAATTATAAAATTATATCTATATATGACTAAAACAAAGTTGGTACACAGAGTTCAGTGGCTTGAGAACAAAAAAATCTAGATTTATTGACTCAACAACTAATCATTAAGTTATCACAGCTTTATTTGACAACTGAACAAACAAGCACCACACCCTTTGTTTTTGGCAGCTTCTTTATTCAGTCTGAAACCACAGATGGCAAAAACAAATTAAATATGCTGCTCCCATGAAATTTCTGTAAGTTGTCAAGTGATCCTGAAGACCTTGATTAGCTGGTTCAGGTGTGTTAAATTAGGCTGGAGCTAAACTCTGCTGGAAGGTGGCCCTCCAGGAGCAGGATTGGGCACCCCTGCTGTAGTCCCATTCATGTGTCACATTCCGACTTCTACATACATCCTCCTTCTCCACAATAACTTTCAAAAGAAGCCATCTTACTCAAATTCACAGACCCCTCCTCTAATATCTCTGCAGACATGACACTGCCACATCTTATCTGATCTTCACCTTATATATATATATATATATATATATAGTCTTGTCAGTGCCAAAGCACTTACATGAATGAATTTCATGAGTTACAGAACACAAACTTTCATAAAAGCCAGAAACTATGTATCAGAACAGAAAAAATATTTAAAACTAGTCTGCCTTAGCTGTTTAAAATACAATTCAAATAGTCTCACTGTAGCTGTCAGAATGTTGTTAGTTAATTCTGTAGCAGCAGTGCAGCCTTCAACTCACTCTCAGCTCATTGGCTGGAAGTCAGCTATGATGTCATCACAGAATGTTATAAGGGCTCTGACAAATAGCCTGGGAGCCACACTTAACGTAACACCGCTCAACAGAGTGACTGTGTCTGAGAAAGGTTGAGAAGACTGCTGTGGTGACAGAGGAAGAGAGAGCAAAAGTGAGAGAGAGATAAGCACGCAAGTGAAAGCCATAATGTGGGAAGGATCTACTTGTTTGTAACAAACCTACAGACCTTAAAAGCATACTGTAACTTTATATGGAAGGAGGAGTGGAGTTGGAAGCCTTTTTTGGAGGTTTGTAAAAAAAAAAAAAAAGCATTATCTTTGCATTGAGTTGCACTGTTTTTACAACTTGTTTAATTACTGTTTACATTTTTACATTTTCAGTACACAAGCCTTTGTGTGTGTGTGTTTTTTTACTAATTCAGCATATTTCTGCTTTTCCTTCTCAATCTCTGTCAGGTCATGGAAACCACACCTTCCCCTGCACCTGACGAGTGTAAGAATTTAACATCTAACTCCTCCAACATTGGTGAACCACAGATGGTGATTCTGGGCACACTCATGTCCATTCTTGTTCTGGTCATCGTCTTCGGCAATGTGTTAGTGATTACAGCCATTGGCCGCTTCCAACGACTTCAGACCGTCACAAACTGCTTCATTACGTCACTTGCGTGTGCAGACCTGGTAATGGGATTGGTGGTGGTGCCTTTCGGCGCCATTTTCATCATCCTTGACACTTGGCACTTTGGCAAATTCTGGTGTAATTTCTGGACGGCCACCGATGTTCTATGTGTCACAGCCAGTATCGAGACGCTCTGTGTCATCGCTCTGGATCGCTACATCGCCATAACATCCCCCTTCCGCTACCAGTCCTTACTGACCAACGGCAGAGCTCGCATCATTGTGCTGCTGGTGTGGGTCATCGCCGGGCTCATTTCCTTCCTACCCATCCATATGGGTTGGTGGATTTCCGATAGTAATGTTGCAAAGTGCTGCTTGAAGAATGTTACCTGTTGTGACTTCAACACCAATCGCCCTTATGCCATCATCTCATCCATAATCTCTTTCTACATCCCCCTGGTCATCATGATTTTCGTCTACAGCCGTGTCTTCCAGGAGGCAAGGAAGCAGCTGAAGAAGATAGACAAAAGTGAGGGACGATTTCATGCTAAGAACAACAGCAAAAAGCAAGAGGCGGCAAGCATCCACTGTGAGGCAAGGACTGCCAAGAAACCCAAGTTCTGCTTAAAGGAACATAAAGCTTTGAAGACTTTGGGTATCATTATGGGTATATTCACGCTGTGTTGGCTCCC